TCAAAAAAAAAAGCTACATGATATTTAATTGGTTGTACCACGATTTATTCATCTAGCCTTTTGTCATTAGACATTTAGTTTATTTAAAGCCTTTCAACATTATAAATAACTGTAAAAGAGATCTTTGTGCCGTGAGTTGCCTACATTTTGGTTCATTGCCACTAAGAAAAAATATCTAGTGACTCAATTATTCCTTGCTCTTTTTAGGCAAAAATCATATTACAAAGAATTAGATTTAAAATTTTTGGTTAAATTATGCTTTAAAGCAAAGATCCTTGCCATTTAGATCTAGTTTTGATTAAAGGTGTGCTTTAGTATTAAATAAGAACAGTTGTTCTCAACTGTGTGTTGCTCGGCAATATGTTTATGATGGATTTTGCTGGCGAAGGACATTTGGCAATGTCTGGAGAGATTTTTGGTTGTTACAGATACAGGGGAGGGGTGCTGCTGATATCTAATGAGTAGAGGCCAGGGATGCTGCTTCTAAACATCCTCCAATACACATGACAGCCCCCTACCCTCCCACTGAAAATAGCTAGCCTAAAATGTCAGTAGTCCTGAGGCTGAGAAACCTTGGATTAACAGATTTTACTGCTGATGGGAAACTTTCTTTTTTTTTGTTTTAGACAGGGCCTCACTCTATTGCTCAGGCTGGATCCTGGCTCACTGTGGTCTTGAACTCCTGGGTTCGAGCAATTCTGCTTCTGCGTCCCAAGAAGCTGGGATTACACATGCACATTGCCATGCCTGGCTATTTAAAAAACTTTTTGTAAAGCTGGGGTTTCACTCTGTTGCCCAGGCTGACCTCAAACTCCTAGCCCTAAGTGATCCTTCGACTTAGGCCCCCCAAAGCAGATCTCCTAAAGATCTGCCCAGAGGGAAACATTCTTGTTGTAGTATTTATGGCTACTGTTCATGGAATTTCTCTGCAATAAAAGGGGAAAGTTTTAGCACCAGAACATAAGTAGAACTGACTTTGCCTTATGTGATAGACCTAGTGAGTAGCCCAATTGTCTGCTTTCCCAATGCCATTTAGACAGAGATCATATATTCTATTGCTTATGCAATGTACTTATAAAATTATTTATTTATTTGAGATGGAGTCTCACTCTGTCACCAGGCTCAAGTGAAGTGATGCGATCTCAGCTCACTGCAACCTCCACCTCCTGGGTTCAGGCAATCCTCCTGCTTAGCCTCCCGAGCAGCTGAAACTACAGGCGTGCACGACCACACCTGGCTAATTTTTATATTTTTAATAAAGATGTGGTTTCACCACGTTGGCCAGGATGTTCTCAATCTCCTGACCTCATGATCATCCACCTGCCTCGACCTCCCAGTGCTGGGATTACAGGTGTGAGCCACTGTGCCCAGCTCAAATTTTTTATTTTTGTGTTTGGGTATTCCTGAAAATGCCTCATCAGTGTCAGATCTAGTTGTTGTTGAGATTTGGTTATGCTGTGTGTATTAAAGATGTGATTTAGCTACTTGGGAAAGAAAATTAATCAGTAGCTGATTTAACAAATAGGAGTTTATGTTTCTCATATGATATGAATTCTGGAGAGGGGCTTGTTACTGTGGCTCCTTGATGCCACTCAGGACCCAGTGCTAGTATTTCTGCTTAGCTTTCCTCTGAATGTGCATTTTACCTTGTTCTCACAGGATGGCTCCTACCTATTCCCACCCCAACCCCCGACAGCAAAACCTATGTTCCAGGCAGGCAGCAGTTGGAAGGGCAAAGGTACCTGGAGTCAGTCCTCTTTGTCAACATTTTCCTGCAGCCCAACCCAGTGGTTTCTGCATATTCCCATTGGCCAGACTGTCACAGGACCATAAAGGCTCGAGAAAACAGATTTTCAGTTGGGCTCACTGTGGTCAGAAAACAAAAGCAGATACCTTTAGAAAGAAAGGATATTGATTGGGGCTGGGTGCTGTGGCTCACACCTATAATCCCAGCACTTTGGAAGGCTGAGGCGGGCAGATAACTTACGGTCAAGAGTTCAAGATCAGCCTAGCCAACATAGTGAAACCCCGTCCCTACTAGAAATATAGAAATTAGCCTGGCATGGTGGTGCATGCCTGTAATTCCAGCTACCGGGGAGGCTGAGGCAGGAGAATCTCTTGAACCTGGGAGGCAGAGGTTGCAGTAAGCCAAGATTGTGCTGCTGCACTGCAGCCTGGGCAACGTAGTGAGACTCTGCCTCAAAAAACACAAGAAGGAAAGGATATTGGAATAAACAGCTAATATGTACCTCTGGGAACTGCTTTTTGAGATATTGGTTCTTCTAAATTCATTGAAACTTTTTTATTAAGTAGAACAAATGATTAATATTGGAGACTTGAAAGAATGGACTCACTGCAAGAGATCTTATTAGCTGAGAAAATAAAATGTATTTATGTTATGAATGTATTTCTTAACCCCAAGAACTTGGCTGTTATATCATGTTTTGTAAATTTTAAATCTCCCTACCACTATGCTGGAGACCCTACCCTCTTTTGTATAGTGCTCACAAAGAAGTGTGTTTCTCTAGGCTAAAAATAGGAATCTGCACCTGACAGATGGCCCTAAGTGTGGAAAATGTGCATGTGTGTATCACAGAAGTGGAAGAAGGGAAGGGAGTCCTACCTTCTCTGCCTGTTGTTTTAAGCCTGCCTCCTCGCAAATCAGTATCTTTATACATTAGTAATGGCCAATAGATTTTTTTAAATCCCATTTACAGTAGCAGCAAAGCCTATTGTTTCTGAGAACAAACCTTTATGATACATTTATGCTAACCTTTAGCATACCTTTATGAAGAAAGCTACAAAATTAATTGAAATATCATGAACTACAGTGCAATTGTGGAGAATAAATAGGGGACAACTTGCTTTGTAGGTACATTGATAGATTACAAAGATGTAGTAACTAAAATTTGATACTGTCTCAAGGGCAAGCAAATGCTTCTGTGAAGTAGAATGAGGATCTAGAAACAGATCCTTGTGTGTGCTGAAACTTGGTTTATTATAGAGCAGTTGTTATTGATAAATGCAGAAACCAATAAATGGTATTAAGTCAATTAACTTTCCAGTTGGAAGGGATAAAATTAAATTTCTCTTCCACACTGCAGGCTAACAACAGTGTCTTAGGTCTTGCAAAAGGACTCTTACCAGTTCATTCACTTCCAGAAAAATGGAGGAGTTTCATATTAGAAATGTGTGCATCATGTTCCATAAATAAAAACTTCGGATACTCAGCTGGCCGCAGTGGCTCATACTTGTAATCCCAGTACTTTGGGAGGCAGAGGCAGGCAGATCACTTGAGCCCAGGTGTTTGAGACCAGCCTAGGCAAAAAGTGACACCCTGTCTGTATAAAAACAAAAAACAAAATGGCACCTAACTTTTAAAATGCTTTTTCTTACATGTGATAGTGTGAGCAAAAGCACAATCTACTTTTTACTGTTAAAGCATGCTTTTCTTTTGTTTGTTTTTTGTAACACTTCTGTTTTTACTTGAATTCTTGGAACACTGTTTCCTGGAAGATCAAACCTGGCCATAATGGATACATTAGTGAGAGCTTAGTGCAGACATAGCCTTACAGAATGTCTTTCACACTGAAATGCAGAAAACCTGAAAGCACCTAGGATGAGCCTCAGGCCTGCTGGTTGTTGCAGTGGTGCCATCTCGGCTCATTGCAACCTCTGCCTCCTGGGTTTAAGCAATTCTCATGCCTCAGCTTCCCAAGTAGCAGGGATTATAGGCGCTTGCCACTACACCTGGCTCATTTTTGTGTTTTGTTTTTGTTTTTCTTTTGAGACAGAGTCTTGCTCTGTCACACAGGCTGGAGTGCAGTGGTGCAATCTCGACTCACTGCAACCTCCGCCTCCCAGGTTCAAGCAGTTCTCTGCCTCAGCCTCCCAAGTAGCTGGGATCACAGATACCTGCCACTGTGCCCAGCCTAATTTGTGTATTTTTTTTTTTTTTTTTTTTGAGACGGAGTTTTGCTCTTGCTACCCAGGCTGGAGTGCAATGGCGCGATCTCGGCTCACCGCAATCTCCGCCTCCTGGGTTCAGGCAATTCTCCTGCCTCAGCCTCCCGAGCAGCTGGGATTACAGGCACGTACCACCGTGCCCAGCTAATTTTTCGTAATTTTAGTAGAGACGGGGTTTCACCATGTTGACCAAGATGGTCTCGATCTGTTGACCTCGTGATCCACCCGCCTCGGCCTCCCAAAGTGCTGGGATTACAGGCTTGAGCCACCGCGCCCGGCCTAATTTGTGTATTTTTAATAGAGCTGGGGTTTCACAACTTTGACCAGGCTGGTCTCGAACTCCTGACCTCAGGTGATCCGCCTACCTCGGCCTCCCAAAGTGTTGGGATTATAGGCGTGAGCCACCACGCCCGGCCTGTTACTGAACATTTATGGCTCTAAAAATAATTTTTTTTGAAGGAGAAGTAATGACAAACATGATAGAAATAATATTTGAGGATATTTCTGAGTTCAAAATGAAGTAACACCTGTCTGTATAAAAACAGTATCATGAAGTATCATGAAGATGAAGAAATAAATTTTTTAAATGTTTAACTCCAAAATTTAGGTAGATGCTATGAGTTTTAGTCAAAATTTGAATATGATGTGGCTGATCATAGATACCTCCCTTGCATTGATTCTGCTTCATAAAGTGTTTGATGCTTGCTTGTAAGTGTTGAATAGAGCCTAATTAGCAGTAAATAAACAGATCTAGAGCACAGACTGGCATATGAAGAACCTTGGTTCAATCTTGGGGGCTGTGGGAACTTTGGATTTTTTAACTTTTGAAAGCCTTTCATCCCTCATAGATAAAATGGGGAAGAAAATTGTTTCTGTTAGTATTGTGAGGATTAAATGAGGTAATGTAGACAATGTGCTCTGCGTAGTACTTGGCGTATCATAAGTCCTTAATGTTATTTTATACTGGCTGGGAAGATATGTTTTGCTGTGGAAAATTGAAGAGGGATATTAAAATATATTTTTGTTATTTTAAGGAAATTCGAAATGAGTCCCATGACTATCCTCATAGAGTGGCCAAGTTTCCAGAAAACAGAAATCGAAACAGATACAGAGATGTAAGCCCATGTAAGTACTTATGGGTTTGTGTGCATGTGTATTTTTTGGTTTGTTTTAGCAGGCAGGATGGAGTGAAAAGGAGGGCTTGGGGTCATTGTTGATAAATACAGTAATTTTTTCCTATTTACGTGATACACATTCTTTAAAGAAGAATTTAAAGGTATAGAGTAGTAGAAGGAAAAATAATGGGTAATTATTTCATCCTTCAAACATAGGCATCATTTAATTTTGGTGTATTTCCCACCAACCTGTTTTTCTTACGCACAATTTTTCTTTAATTGTAATTATATATGGATATATAATATCCATATATATTTTCTTTTCATCTTACTACATGGCCTTTGCAAGTATTACTTAAAATAGTTATTGGTGTAGTTTGGTTTTCTTTCCTTCCCCAAGTTACAAGAATAGTATGTACTCACTTTAGAAAACTTACAAAACATAGAAAAATATAAGGAACAAACTTATTTAAAAATAAATCATAACTTGGGTTTATATTCTTTGGAGTTTTTAAAAATAAACATATTTTAAATTGAAAATTAGAACCTTTCACATACTCATTTGTAGCCCTTAGCAGTACATTGTAAACATTTTCTTATTATAAACACAATTTTTAATTGCTTTGACAGTGGCTTTGGATATATCATTCTTTTACATAAGTTCCCTTGCGGTTGGACATTTAGATTATGATGTAAATAATACATTTACACTGGCTGGGAGGATATGTTTTGCTGTGGAAAATTGAAGAGGGATATTAAAATATATTTTTGTTATTTTAAGGAAATTTGAAATGAGTCCCATGACTATCCTCATAGAGTGCCCCCCACACACACACGTGTGAACAATTATAATATTAGAGTTCTTCAGTGTATTCATCCATCATTCGATGATTTTTTGTTCTGATTCATACAGCTTATTCAGATATTAACTTGGGCTTCTTTCCTGCTTCAGCATGTTTCCTTGTGTTTGATTTTAGTGGGCTAAACATAGGTTTTCTCTTTAGCACTCCTTGTTAGAAGGGACTTAGAAAACAGTACCAAATTGATCATGTGCTGGTTTTTGCTTGTTTCTGGTTGTTCCCCTGTTTCACCATCTCAGCCAGGCTGGTCTTGAATTCCTGACCACAAGTGATCCACCTGCCTCGGCCTCCCAAAATGCTGGGATTACAGGCATGAGCCACCATACCCAGCTGATAATTTTTTTTTAATTGCAATTGAGACACTTTATTTTAAAGTATAAACATTTGTAACTTAAGTTTTCCTCAAGTATACACATCAGTAAAACTCATAATTTGTTGCCTAAGCCTTTAGACTTAGGTTGTATACCTGCAGTTGAAGGCTGCAGGGAGACTCTGTTTAAAATGTGTGAATGAGGCCTCTCTCCATCATCTTTGGGATCAGGCTCTTCCTGTATGCCTTCTCATTGAAAAGCACTTAGCTGGCCAGGTGCGGTGGCTCACGCCTGTAATCCTAGCTCTTTGGGAGGCCAAGGTGGGCAAATCACGATTTCAGGAGTTTGAGACCAGCCTGACCAATATGGTGAAACCCTGTCTCTACTAAAAATACAAAAATGAGCCGGACGTGTTGGTGGGCACCTGTAATCCCAGCTGCTTGGGAGCCTGAGGCAGGAGAATTGATTGAACCTAGGAGGTAGAGGTTGCAGTGAGCCAATATCACATTATTACACTCCAGCCTGGGAGATCAAGATTCCTCTGTCTCAAAATTTAAAAAAAACAAAACAAAAACAAAAAAGAAAAGCACTTAGCCTTGAAAGAACAGAGCTTCCCTCTTGCTGGCCACACAGTGGGTGTCTTCTGTAGCTGTGCTTTGCTGGGAGCAGCCCTAAGTGCATGTTTTCCTTAGCGTTATTTGCCCCTTCCCTCCCCACATACGCCTCCCTAATAAGCCATGTTCTCCGGATCTCTCAGATGGAGACTGCTCATTCTTGCGTCCTATGTAACCACAGGATTTTCTAGTCTGAGCCAGTATGCTTCAGCCTGCAAATGGAAATGATCTCTTCCAAGGCTTGTGCTGGCCCACACATCCCCATACTGCCCTAGGGCCTCTTCCTGACTTCAGTCACTCACTGTCTTTCTCCTTACCCTTTCCTTCCCACCTTCCTTATTCTGGTTGACTTCATGTGTCTGGGAAAGAACTATGACTCATTTCGCTAGAGTTCCTAAACCTGTTCAGCTCCACTGACATTGACCTTTAGTCATCTTCACCTCTGAAGTCTGAAACTCTGCTACCTTGAGGGCTACTTTCTGTCATTCCACTTCCAGCTTTCGCTTGCTTATTCCCACTGTACCTACTGTGACTTCAGCAGAGTCTTTTTGTTTGTTTGTTTGTTTCTTTGTGAAGACAGAGTCTCGCTCTCTTGCCTAGGCTGGAGTGCAGTGGCACGATCTTGGCTCACTGCAACCTCCGCCTCCTAGGTTCAGGCAATTCTCCTGCCTAAGCCTCCTGAGTAGCTGGGACTACAGGTGCACGCCGCCCCGCCTAGCCTTTAGCAGGATCTTTAGTTGACCTTTTTCATGTATTGTCAAGCTAGAAATGTACTGAATTAAAATTTTGATTAAAAAATGCAGTGTAGTATATTACTTCATCCTCTAACATGTCTGTCAATAACTTTCTTGCTGTTTTTATATTTAAAAAAGAACTCTGTGGACTTTTTAATTACACCACTTTGTGAAGCTCCAACTTTGGAAAAATTAGTACTCGTCTTCTCTGCCCTTTGGGCAAATGAGCGTGTGCCTTGGGTGGACTCTAGTGTTAACTGGGCCTGGGGTTGCCTTGCTGTCCTCATGCCCTCATTCGCCCTACTGCCACTCTGCTCCACCTCTGCACCAAGTAAACCATCTCTCAGGGCCCCTCATCAATATTGTCCTGTCTTCAGTTCTACAGAGAAAAATTTTTTAAATCAGGAAATACCACCTCAGCTTCATGTTCTGTCACCTGAAAACTCACTTTCATTTGTCCCCATCCTTCCCTAAAGTCCTAGGAGAGAAGGCTCCCCTCCCCCCGGCCTAGGCGAATCTTTTGTCCCCGTTCCCCTCATGGGCTCTGTTCTTCGACATCACCACTCTTCATGTGTTTTCAGCCTCTTTCTGTCTCATGACTTCTTCCCTTTTGTATAAATGTTGTTTGCTCTCTTTTGTCTCAACCCTTATATCTCACCCCAGCCCCCGCTTCCTTTCTTACCTACATGGATAGACATTTCTTACCTACACCTATTCATAGGTACACACGGGCTTTAAAGAATGCACTGTGTCATTTGTCTCTCCACCCTCCCCGCTATGCACACTTCACCCCTTCCTTCTTCCCCAGCCTCCCCACTGAAACTTTTATTCCAAAGCACTGTAGCTTCTAGTTGTCAAATGCAATGAGAGACTTTCCACTGGTTTCCTTTCTCTTAGCCCTCTGTGACTTTTGACATTATTCTCCTGCCTCAGCCTCCCAAGTGTCTGGGATTATAGGCATGTGTCACCATACCTGGCTAATTTTTGTAATTTTAGTAGAGACCATGTTGGCCAGGCTAGTCTTGAACTCCTGACCTCAAGTGATCCATCCACCTTGGCCTCCCAAAGTTCTAGGATTACAGGCATGAGCCACTGAGCCCAGCTGACCTTGCCTTCTTTCCTAACCCCATAATTTTTCTGATTTTCCTCTTTGGTCCCCCTATTTTCAGGGCATCTCCTCCTCACTTTGCCTTTATTTCTTCAGGAATCTGTTTCTCTCTCCTCCTCACTGTAACACTTGGATGAATGATCTCATTTGCTGTGGGCTTAGTTTCCATCTCTTCGCTTGTAAACCTGAATCTCATTGCAGTCTTGGTCTTTTCTATCTACATACCCATCTATGCAAGTCATCATCTCTGTCTGGGTGTCCTGTAGCCAACTCAGACTCAGTATGTTTGCACACTGAGTGAGCATTCCTCCCTGACACATTTCACTGGTCTTAGCCCCAAACCTGCCTTTTCTCCTTTATTCCCCATGTTGGTAAGTGGTGCCATTATTCACACATTTTTTTGAAGCCAGAAACAGATTCTTCCCTCCTTCAGCTCCCACGTCACTAAGTAATACTAATTTCCATTTCCATGATTTTTTTTTTTTGAGACAGGGTCTTGCTCTGTCACTCAAGCTAGAATTCAATGGCACAGTCTTGGCTCACTACTGCGTCTGCCTCCCAGGCTCAGGTGATTCTCTCAGCCTCATAAGTAGCTGGGACTACAGGTACACACCACCACACTGAGCTAATTTTTTAAATTTTTTGTAGAGATGCAGTTTCATCATGTTGCCCAGGCTAATCTTGAACTCCTGGACGCATGCAATCCACCTGCCTCGACCTCCTGATGTGTTGGGATTATAGGTGTGAGCCATCGTGCCCAGCCTCCATAATGTATTTCAAATCCATTTTCTTTTTCTTTTTTTCCTTTTTTTTGAGACGGAGTTTCGCTCTTGTTACCCAGGCTGGAGTGCAATGGCGCGATCTCGGCTCACCGCAATCTCCACCTCCTGGGTTCAGGCAATTCTCCTGCCTCAGCCTCCGGAGCAGCTGGGATTACAGGCACACACCACCGTGCCCAGCTAATTTTTTGTAATTTTAGTAGAGACGGGGTTTCACCATGTTGACCAGGATGGTCTCGATCTGTAGACCTTGTGATCCACCCGCCTCGGCCTCCCAAAGTGCTGGGATTACAGGCTTGAGCCACTGCGCCCGGCCAATCCATTTTCTTTTCTGTTCACATTGGCTTGGTTCAGGCCCTATTACGCTTTTCCTTGGTCATTATAATAGCCTCTAAACCAGTCTCTTTGTTTCCCTTCTGTTCCCGCTTAGTCCATTTTCATAGTATCCAGAGTAACCTTTGTAAGATGCAAATCTGTTTTCCACTCCCCTCTCCAATAGTGCTATACAATTTTTATTAAAAAGTTAATCTACTTTAGCATTATCATACTGGGCCTTTTGGAGACTGACCCCTTTACACACCTCTCTAAATCTTTTCTAGCCATT